TGTCCCCGACCCAGGGACCACTGGAGCTCAGATACTGAAGTAAATAGATAAGAAATGGGCAGATAAATATTGTTCCATTGCCCAGACCACCCAGTGCATATTTTCAGAGCCCCAGTAGCTGGGGTTGGATGGGACCTGCTTTAAAGTGTGACAAACCCAATAATATTATGTGGATTTCTGTATATCCCTATGTACAGGCACATCCATGCATGGCTGATTGTGTATGTATATATATATATATTTATACATATATTTATCTGCATATATCCACACACACATTTAGAGGAAGTAAGCAGCAATTACAAGGGAAAAGCCACAAGTTAATGTATGTAATCATGTCAAATCCCCAGAGCAGTGAAGGGGAAACCGCCTCTGCTCGGGGTTTGTTCTTGGGGAAGTCAAGCCTTGAGCTGTGCAGGGAAAATCTGCTCCAAGACCCCACCATTCCCACGGCATTCCCTCCAAGCAGCCCCTCCTCCTGGTGCCACTGGACCCATCCCGTCCCCAGCTCTTTGCAACTCCTCTCTTGGCTCCCATCTCCTTCCCAAAGTTCTCCAGGACACTGCAGACAGCACATTTCCCTCCGAAACTCTGTGTAATCACCTTCCTCACCCCCCTGAGCACAACAGGGGAATCATTAAAAAAAAAAAAATCTAATTAATGAGACATGAGGCACTTTCAGAAGCTGCAAGGCTGGAGCCTGAGGTCAGGGAGAGAGGGGAGAAAAAACACACCTAATTATAAGTGTGCAAAAAAGAGCTGGGCTGTAGGAAATGGGAAGATTACATGCTGGAGGAACTGGCAAACAGCTCCAAGACAGGCAATCTGAGGGGAATTATGTCCCAGCACAGCGACTCCCCACTTGAAACTATTTTCATTTAAAATCGTTATTTTGTCTGCCTTCCTGATGGTTGTTCAGGGGACTCCAGATCACCCGTTGCCCGAGGAGCAGTGTGGAAATTCCTGGCCACAGAGCAGGAGGAGAGGGAAGAAGGGATGGATGGCACATTTGTTCCTTCCTCTGCACCCTCCAGAAATTAAAAGGGATAGGGCCAGAAGGGAAGGTTATAAATCCATCCAACCTCAGCACTGCACCAGCTTCCCTGAGCTCAGGATGGTGTCCATCCCAGCTGGAGCCTTGGAACTGCATCCTCAGCATCCCTGTGGCCCACAGCTCATCCCCAAATTGCCTCCCCAGCAGACAAATGGGGCTTGAGCTTTGCATCCATCTCAGGCACAGCTAAAAACCACTTTACAGGAGGAACCTGACTGGGTGACAGCCCCTAATTAACCACCTCGAGGTCAAGTGAAGTTTGGAGCTAATTGAGGAAGACCTCAGCTAATTATGACTCCCCTTATCAGGGTCAGAGAACCTTTAGCTTGAAAACATCTCAATTTGCTCCGAGCCTGAACAGGCAAAATCGCTGCAATTAGACATGGCCTCTAATTTTACACCCTCCCAAGTGCCTGTTCCTCTGCCCCAGCCTGGCTTAAATCAACTTGAGGCAGCACTTGCAAGAAAAAAAAAAAAAAGCTCTTTCAGTTGGGAACCTTTTGCATTCACTTTAGGGCTTGATTTCTTTGGGGTTGCCTGGTCATCCTCTTCCTTCAAAGAGAAAGGAAGCAGCTCAGCCAGCAGACTGGGGTGATGAGCACTGCAGGAAACGGAGAAACAGCTGGGTTGGAATATGGTATTTTTATGACCTAGGCCTTGCTGGTATATTCTCCTTCCATCAAGGGCTCGTTATTGCACTCAGATGCCTTCCCTTCCAGATGAAACTGCAATTATTAGCTCTGCCTGGGAATAAAGCAGGAGAATGGCAGGAGTGAGAGAGGGAGCAGGCTCAGGAATGGCTGAAATTCGAACACAAAATGTATGCAGAGAGCTGAGCCTTCCCCCTTATCAGGGTGCATTTAAATATGAACTACTGCCTTAACAGCAGGCCTGGCAGCTGCTGTGTCAGGGGAAAAAAAACAGCTCTGAAAAAAGCCCAGTTGTGAGCAGAAACCACCAATTTCATGCAGCAAGAGCTGGAGGTGGTAGTCAATCTTTTTATTGCCCAAGAAGTCTCGAGGTTTCTCCAGCCAGCAATGGCGGGGACAGTCTGAGCCAGAAACAGCCACAGCTTAATTTATCCCATGGATTTACCCTGCTCAGTAACAAAAAGAAAACACCCCTACCTTGGGCACTGCCAATGGAGAAAGGGCCTTTCCAGCTTGTTGTGGTATTTTGGTCTTTGCCAGATGCTCCACTTGCACAACAAATCCCAGACTCAGATGGCAGATCCTGAGCTTTGCATTAGTGGCTTAAAAATAAAGCACAGTTTAGGGCTCCAGACCAAGGCTCTGCAGGGCCTGAGTGGTTTCTGATGTGGATTTAAACAAGGGTTAACTCCAGGGAAGGAAACCACACACCAGAGGCCACTGGTGGCATCCCAGCACCGGGCTCAGCAGAGCCAGATCATCTGCTGGGTGAAGGATCCCTGAAGCAACAGCACATGGCAAACTGGGTGCTGTTCTCAGTGAATGATGGAGAACAAGGCTGGGAGGGACCTGTTGAGGTCACCCCATCCATCTCCTGCCCTGGGATGGAGCAGCAGCTCCTGAGTGGTGCCTGTGGGTCTCCAGAAGCTTCCAGAGGGGTGACTCCACTCTGAGCCCAGGTGTTTTTTCCCAGTGTTTAACCCCTCCCAGTCAGAATGACTTTTCTAACTTAGAACTCCTCTGGTGGGGTCTAACCCAGAATTTCTGGAGCTTTTCCCAGTGGGTATGGAGAGGAGGAACAAGCTCTTATACACTGGAAGACTTAATAAGACAGAGGAGTGAACTCTTTTTGGCCTCAGCAGGAGAATGGCTTAATCAGAACTATTAGAATTGGCCTGTGATCCATCATTTCCTTAGCATTCATCCCCTTCAAGTGTCCCCTGGGGATGCCTTTTCAAACTTGAAGCACTGCCTGCTCTGCACCCTCGCTCCCATGTCCCTCCCCGTTCGTTCACCCCTTTATTTTTGGAGTTAGAAAGAAAAGCAGCACCACAGAGGTGTGATTCTGTGCGAGGAAACTGCCTCCTGCTGGGTGCCAGTGCCACCTGTGTGTCCCACTCGGGTCTCTGGCGAGGACAAGGAGGGGCTGTCCCGTGGGAGTGAGTTGGGCCAGCTCTTCTCCTGCCCACGAGCCAGCATGGAAAAGTCGAGCGTTGTGGGCTCCTGAGAGCAGAGATTTCGAGATATTTGGCCTCATTCTTCTCAAGCTGAATGTGCCTCGATAAATCAGAGCCAACTCCACGTTGGGGACGTGCAGGGACCGTCGAGGTTGTGTTTGTTTAATTAATGCATCTGGTTTTGCTCCACTTTGGCTCTTTGTTTTTACTTATCGGACACGAAATAAGGCTCCAGCTTCCCCAGGACCCCAGAAGAAAGGAGGAGTGTGTTTTTCTCTGCAGACCATCAGTGTATCTGCAGGCTGAACAGACTGGTATGGCTGGAGGTGAGGCAGGATAAGGTCAGAGCTGTGGCTCACGCAGGAAGGAGAGAAGTTCTCTTATAAACCTTATTTCTGTGCCCTCCAGGGCTCTGCTGTGACCCATGGAGAACACAAAGGATACAGCTGCCTGCAGCATTGATGCCAGTCTTTTTTAGGGAGCTGGATTTAACCCTGGAGTTGCTTCATAAAATCCTGGAGTGGTTTGGGCTGAAAGGGACATTAAAAATCATCCAGTGCCACCTCCTGCCATGGGCAGGGACACCTTTCCCAGACCAATTTGCTCCAACCTGGCCTTGGACACTTGCAGGGATGGAGCAGCCACAGCTTCTCTGGGCAACCTGTGCCAGGGCCTGCCCACCCTCCCAGGGAAGGATTTCCTCCTAATCTCCAGTGCACTTGCATGTCCTGGGTGGGTCAGTGGGAGTGAGGCTGACGTGTGTCCATGGAGCAGTCTGGGGAACAGCCTCCTTTGGGGCACCCAGGAGGGCAGAAAGGCTCCAAATCCAACACCACCCAGCTGGGAAGCTGCAGTGGGAGTTCCCCCACCGTGTGCAGGAAGAGGATGACAGAGGTTTGTGGAAAAGGGGGTTCAGGGGCTGGAGGCCAAACCTCTTACTGAGGCACCAGCTGAGCTTCAGGGAATCACTTCAGGTCATGCTTGGAAAAACACCTCTGGAATTGCCACCAACTTTCAACTGGATCCACCTGGATCCCACCTGCCGATCTTGAGCATCTCCTGTGACTTTGCTTGAGTTGGGAAGACGCCTGGGAATCCCCTTAGGAATGCACCAGCCTCTTAAAGACGAGGATTGCAGCCAGTCCTGCTTGGGAATGAGGGATTTGCCTCCTCCTGGCCAGGGCACCGAGGGGAGGGAGCACCTGGCTCTCTGCTGAGCAGGGAGAAGGATGGCCTTGGGAAGGGAAGAGGGATGCAGTGGCTCCCAGCCCTGCCAGGCTCAGCTCAGGGTGTTCCCCACCCCTCTGTCACCACACATTTCTGGCATGGCAGCCTCTCCCTTGACTGACAGCTCTGAAGGGAAGGCGGGGGTGTCAATGGTACTTTTTCAAAGATTTCCTTGATGTCTTCAAGTTCCTACCCAAAAAAAAAAAACCTAAAAAAACCCAACCCCAAACCAACAACACAAACCAACACCCGCCCCCTCCCCAGCTTAACAGCTTTATCAATCTCAGAGCAGCGTTCTGCCAGAACAAGGATGGGGAGCACATGCCAAATTATTTGTTGTCACTGAAATAAATTAGGTATCGAGTTATAAAACAATAGTGTGGTGACAGAAAGCTGGAAAGCAAAAGCAGCCCTAATCAGAGGCGAACATGCTGCGTGTTCCGGAGCCGAGAGCGCGGCGCTGCAGCAGGATCCTCATCCGGTGGGGGTGATGGATCTGGGATCCATCTGCCGGTCCTGCCGGCCGGGAATTAACTCACAGGGACTAATTACCCCAGCAGTGGGAGGGGGTGGGGGGAGAAATGTGTCTTGCACTGCGTTTTTAGAAGATCTCGAAGCGCTTTGGGAAGAGCGATGTTGGTTTTGAGGCTGAAGCTCTTGGAGCTGCTTGAGGGGAGACCTCACTGCAGGTACAACTGCCTGGGCAGGGGCAGAGGAGGGGCAGGACTGAGCTCTGCTCTGGGGGGACCAGGGACAGCCCCCAGGGAATGGCTGGAGCTGTGTCAGGGCAGGCTCAGGAGTGGATCTCAGCGAAAGGTTCTTCCCCCAGAGGGTGATTGGCACTGAACAGGCTCCCCAGGGCAGTGGGCACAGCCCCAAGGCTGCCAGAGCTGCAGGAGGGTTTGGATGATCCTCTGGGGCACAGGGGGTGACTCTTGGGAATGGGCCCATGCAGGGTCAGGAGTGTGAGTTGATGAACCCTGTGGGTCCCTTCCAACTCAGCATGTCCTGGGATTCTGTGCTCTGGACTGGAGGGACAGAGCCAGGGCTGACGATGAGGATGATGAAGCATCGCTACCTCCAGCATGGCAAACACAGACCCAGCAGGAGAGCAGAGGATTTATGGACCCATTGCCACTGCTCCATGCGAGGCACCGTGCCAGGGATGAGCACCGGGAGGGGTCAGGAGGAGCAGGAACAAGCAGAGCAGGAGGCCAGGACCTCAGATACCTCCATGGAGTTCCTCCCGCAGTTCCGAGGATGCAGAGGGGTCTCGAGGTTATACCATGGCCCCATCCCATGGGCCCCATCCCACGGGCCCCATGCCATGGCCCCATCCCGGCCCCTGTCCGGGCAGCTGGCGCGCGGCGTGTCGTGCAGACGGATTAGCAGCGGCGCAGCTACAGCTGCTCTGATCCGACACACAGGGGCTGGCTGGGAGACAGCCCGGGCTGGCAGCTTCCCCGGGAAGGGGAAGGGTTCCGCAGTTGCTGCCCCGGTGCCGTGTCCCCCCCCTTCCTGGGCCGGTCCCCCCGGTAATCCCGCAGCCCCTCGGCCACCCCGCTGACCCCGCGCTCGGCCCCCTGCCAGCCAGCCCGGCCTCCCCACAACTGGATGCCGGCCCCAGGGAGGGCTGAGGGGTGGTGGGGCTGTGGGGGCAGGTGGCCCGGCCAGCTGTGGGGTTTCGGTTTCCCCGCTGATCCCACAGCGGGCCTGGTCGTGCCAGGGAAGCGGGAAAGGCAGAGCGGGCTCTGGGAAGGCGGCGGTGCCTCTGTCGGTGTTGGGGCTGTGGTTATCCCTGGCTGCTGGGGTGTCTTCTCCTGCAGACCCTGCTGGAGATCCTACCAAACAAACGTACAGGGTGGGAAAGACACTGGGGAGGGCAAGAAAGATGGGGAAGGGCCTTGATGTGAAGGCGTGTGAGGACATTGAGGGTACTTGGTGTGTTCAGCTGGAGCAGAGGAGACTGAGGGGAGACCTCACTGCAGTCACAGCTTCCTCAGCAGGGGGACCTTCCTCAGGACTGAGCTCTGCTCTGGGGGGACCAGGGACAGCACCCAGGGAAGGGCTGGAGCTGTGTCAGGGCAGGATCAGGAGGGATCTCAGGGAAAGGTTCTTTCCCCAGAGGGTGGTTGGCACTGAACAGGCTCCCCAGGGCAGTGGGCACAGCCCCAAGGCTGCCAGAGCTGCAGGAGGGTTTGGATGATCCTCTGGGGCACAGGGGGTGACTCCTGGGGATGGGCCTGTGCAGGGCTGAGGGTTGGACTGGATGATCCCTGTGGGTCCCTTCCAGCCCAGCACATCCTGGGAGTCTGTGATTTCTCTCCCAGGATCTCACCTGGCTCCAAACTGAGCTGCAGGAACCAGACAGTCTGTACATCATCTTGCAGCTGAAGGTGCATCCCTTCGGGGGGGCAGAGGGTGCTGCTTTGTCTCCAAATAGAGCCTTCTACCTGGTATCTGGGATACAGGCCAGAGATTCAGCCTTAAAAAAACGTGTTTGGCTTGGAAGGAGCCAGATCCACTTTTAACAATCCCCCAGGAGGGACTGAATCATAAAAATCTGCCCGAGCAGGGCACCGTGTCCAAGCAGTTGTCTGGTGGGAAGGGAGGCTGGAAGAAGGACTCATCACTTGGCATGTGGAAACATCTTCCTACACATTTCCTAAAAAAAATGGAAAAGAAGATGGAAAAAAAAATACAGAAGAAGAAGAAGGGGAAAAAATAGAAGAAGAAGGAAAAGAGGAAGAAAGATTCATAATAGACATAGTTTGGAATAATAACAAAACCTGATGGTAAATTACCCCCTGGTTTGTCAGCTGTGTATCCTTGTAGTATGAAGACCCAACAGCTTGTCAGGTTCCCCTTTATCAGGAACATCTCTGGAGAGTGTGAAACAGGATGGGATTTTGCAGAAGTGAAAATAATCCCTCAAAATTGATGGTTCTTTCAGTGAATGTTTCGATTTCTCTCTGCTATCGAGTACATAGAATCCCAAATTTAGAATTATTTCTCTCTGTAAAAAAAAAAAAAGAAAAAAAAAAAAGAAAGGTTACTATGGGATTTTAGCTTTCCTTTGCAGAACAATTTCTTCAAATTTCCCACATCCTCTGAAAACCAGAACAAGGAAGTGAAAATGGCTCGAAGCGGCCGGACAAGTTTCACTGCCCAAGGTAAGTAAACTTGAAAAAGGTAAATAACATCTTTTTGGCCAAGGCAGGTTTCTGGAGATCCAGGCACAGGCTCCATGAGCTCCCTATTGAATTCCATGTCCTTGCTCCAGCTGGGGCTGGGATTTCACCCTGCTGTACCTGGGACACTTGGTTTCCAACCTTCCCCTCCTTTGTGACACCGTAACACGATCTGGTTGAAGTCTTCTCTTTAAATTAGATTTTCATAGCAGAGCAAACAAGAAGGAGAATAGAAGGAAAGTCATTAGACAAGATACAACAATAGTTCTGGTGGGTAAATAATTAATAAATAGAAAAGGAAAGTACCTTTATTAAGAAAAAAAAAAAGAGTTCTCAGGAATTGAATTTCCTTTGAAGTCTCTGTGAGTGAGTCACCTGCTGACCTGGAGCTGATTTCATAAAGGATTTGAGAGATTTCCTGGTGCAAGTCGTGGTGAGACACCAGGAGAACAAGGCAGCTGCAGGGACCTGCTGTGGTGCTTCAGTGATGCTGTTTCCCTGCTGGCTTCACTTGGGAAGGGAAGCAGGACCTGTGCAACACCACCTGGGTCACCTGTGCTGCTCACACAGGTGACACCTGTTGACCCAGAACGACTGCTCTGGGTTTCTGCTCAGTCAAGAGGTTGAGACTTTTCACGGTGGGGTTCCATCAGCTTTAATACAAGAAGTCAGGCTGATGTCCCAGCAGCTTTCACAAGGTGTGGGACATGCAGGAGGTGCTTCTCCTGCAGAGGCACCAGCTCCAGCCCAGCCCAGTCCTTGTCCCCAGCCCACCTGGGAGCCTGGACCTGCCTTCACCCTCTGCATGGAGACAGCTCTGGTTCCTTGGCCTCCAGCCTGTCTGGAATTTTGGGCTACCAGAGAGGTTGTGGAGTCTCCTTCCCTGGAGACATTCAAAAGCCATCTGGACACAATCCTGAGCAAGGGGGGTTGGACTGGACAAATTCCAGTGGTCCCTTCAACCTGAACCAGTGATTCTGGAGCTTTGATGCCCACCTCCGTATCTGATCCTAACCCTGGAGTCCAGACACCCCTCTCCTCCTGGGAGAGATCTCATTTCAGCATTTCTGCAGCACAGAGAGCCCTTCCCAAAGGAATCTGGGTTAGGAAGGACTAAGCTGCTTAACACCTCCTAGTAATGAGCTGGAGGAGTGGCTGGGGGACAAGGTGGCAAAGGCTGCCTCTGCAGAGCAGATCTCAGCATTTTGAAGCTGCCTGAAGTGTTTTGTGTGCTGGCTGGTTGGTTATTTTATTTTTTTCTTTTTCTTTCCTCAATGAATTTCTGTGGAATGCTCACTGGAGACAGGAATGTTGGTTTCCCTGCTGCCCTTCCCAAGCGTGCAGTGGCATTCGGATAAATTACACACACAGCACTTTTTTTTAGCTCTTTTTAGTCTTTTCCTCGCTGGGTTTTGCTTGCAGTTGGCCAGCAGTTTGGACTGGAAGCAAGACACGGCTCCTCTCTTTCTGGAGGTCACTCAATTATAGCAATCAGTGCATCCAGGCTTCCAAAAATATTAACTGTTGACTAAGTGGCCAACAATGAAAAGGGTAAGGAATGTTTGCTGCTTCTTTTCCCTTCGTGAGTCTAATGGTAATTAAAGGTCCCAGAGCAAGAGACCTGGAGAGGGAAGCTTTCTAATTTTCCCCAAAACAACGTTCCAGAAAATTTCCTTATTAGTAGGATTCAACCCTGAGCTGGGATGCTCAGCTTGAACCTCCCATGTCCTGTGTTGTCCTGCTTGGGCTGGTGATCAAAGATATTAGGAACCTCAGTGTTCTCCAGATCTTTCCTCTGCCATTTCTTCCTCCATGGACACTTGAAAACATCTGGGGATGGGGCAGCCACAGCTTCTCTGGGCAACCTGGGCCAGGGCCTGCCCACCCTCACAGGGAGGGATTCCTTCCCAATATCCCACCTAACCCTGCCCTCTGTATTTGTAACACCTTCCCAAGGTTTCAGTGCTGGGTGGATCTGTCTGGGCACAGCTTTGGATCGTTGACCAGCACTAACTCCATACCCTCCCCAAGTTGTCCACAGGCCCTCAGACCTGCCCTGCAGTCGAGGGCACTCATCCAGCCTCCCCTTCCAGGAGCACATGGAACAGTAACTTGGATCTGTCTGAGCCCAAAGCTTACTGGAAATTGTAAAAAACACTTGGATCCGCAGAATGGAGTGGGAAGGTTGGGGGGTGGAGGGGGCAGTTTGTCATCTCTGGTCCCTCCTACTTCTCACAGGATTTCTTTTAAACTCCTTCCAGCCTAATCCCCCCAACTATGTGATCTTTGTCCCAGAGGAGCTGTGCCGTTTCTATGGAGCCCCAAAGATAACTATCCCTTTTCCCTTTGATTTAATTTAGTAGGTTCAAGGACTCAAGTAAAGCAGCAGAGGCCAGATACAAACACTCCGCTGGAAAAACACTCCGGAGGCTGCACAAGTGGCGGGGAAGGAGCCCAGACAATAGGTCTTGACTCGGCGATTCTCTCCGCTCCCAACCCCAGCGGGCGCATGTCAAAGGCTGCAGATTAACACCCCCCCCGAGCTCTGCTCGACCGCGGGGCCTCCCCAAACTCGTGGCAATAAAAGCTCAGCCTCAAATCAAAAGCTCGGCTCGCTGAGCAGTCAAAACAGCGCAGGGGGAGCCACCAGAAACACCCACGGCATCCCCGAAGGAGGGTCAGCCCCTGGGACCGTCCCCGCCCCTGCCTCCACCTCTCCCAGAGGTGGCCAGCAGCCCTAAGGCTCTCTTGGACGCTGCCAGCTGAGCATCTCCCAGCGGCCTGAAACTCCTCAAATTCATCATCCCAACCCTTCCATTAGATGGGAAATTATTAATCACATTTTCAGGTAGGAAAGCGAGGCAGGAAAGCACTGAAGGGATCTACAGAGCTTGATAAGAAGAAGAAGGGGTTTAGGGACTTAGTGGCAGTTTGAAAAACTAAAGAAAAATCATTTAGGATGGATCAAACCCAGGCTTTTTTTTTTTTTTTTAAACTTTTGGCAAATCGCACACTGAGAGAAAAGGAGAATGGGTCGTATAAAATGTTACATTTCAATCAAATTGAAACCATCCCTCTCACAGATTTCTTGAAAATGCCTTGGAACCACTTACACAATTAAGGGAAAGCTTGAAACAGGGATTGAAATGGTGCATTCAAAAAAAAAATTTCAAAACAAGCCCTTGCCGTGCTTTTTCAGAGTTATCTCTGCTTTTTCCAGGCTTCATCACTGGGCAAAGTGGTCAGAAATTTACTACACGTTTCACTGGGCTGGAATTCGCATTTTCCACCAAAAAAAAGAAAGGAAAAGAAAGGAAAAGAAAACAAGTTTTCCTCCAGATGCTGCAGGTCCAGTGGGGAGGCTGGAGCAGAACCCAGAATTCCTCCTTCAGCTCTGGATTCTCATCGGCCTTGCCCTTGGATTCATCCTCCTCTTCTTCGCTTTCTCAGCCTCTAAAACCAGGAACACAAACGTTTCCCCACCCAGAGCGCTTTGAACGACGCGTGGAAAGCACGGCTGCTAAATATTAATAAGTTCTGTGTAATAATCTGCTTTTTTATGGAAATATCATTCATATTTATGGGGCAATTAACTGCTGATAGATCCCCTTGAATATGCAACGTGGGGCCTGAAGCTCCTGCAGCAACGAGGGTCTCATCCTGCATCTCTGACCCCTGCAAGACACTCCAGGAAGGGAATTAGTCTCATTGACAGAGTAAAGAGCCCTTCCACACTCAGTTTTCCTCACACACAAGGAAATCCAGCCCATCCCTGTAGTCCCAGCCTCTCCCAGTGCCACCAGCTCACACTTTGCAAACCCACGGTTTGTTTAAGGGCTCAGTTATATTTAAATGACAAAGGCTCACCTGTAGCTGAAGTTCCACCCTTTCAAAGCCACATAAAAAAAAATAAATAAATAAATGGAGCTCTCATTTAGCACTTCAGTCTGCAGCAGGATTTTTTGGCTTCCCAAGATGATTTAATGATGCTCAACTGGGACAGGGGAAACCCCAAACCATGAGATATCGGGGTGCCAAGGGCAGGGAGGATTGGGGTTTCTTTCCCGCCTGACTGCAAAACCAGCAGCACAAAACAAGACCACAGGGTGGTGATTAAAATCATCACAAAAAAATTAGATCCCTCCCCCTTTTTCCCCCTCACATAATGGCAGGTCATTAAAGTTAAAAGTCAGTGTCAGCAAAAAGCCACGGCAGCATCTTCCATCCCCCTGCAGCTCTCCTGCCGTTCCTCGGGTCTCTGAGGCTTGTTGGCTCCTGGCTTTGGGGTTTCTTCATCTTCCACCTGTTGCTGGGGCTCGTCAGCAAAGCTTTCAAGGTGCCAGAAGGAGTCTGTTGGGATAGGGAAGCTTTCAGGTGCTCCGAATATGTCGAGGTCGGGGAGGAATTCGTGTCAGATGTAACCCCAGAGACAGCCCTGTCTGGAGCTGGAGGTGGGTGTTGGGCAGAGAAAGGGGAAAAGCAGCTCCAAGGGCCTTTGATGGTGCTGTGCCACCCCAAGAGGTTGTCTCCACACTCAGGAGGCAGGTCCATCCCTGGGGCCATCCCTGGGGCCATCCCTGGGCCATGGGTTGAGCTGACCTGCATTCCTGAGGTCACGGAGGGCAAAAGAGCCTGGAAATCAGGCACAGTCCTGTCTGTCACCTCCTGTGAGCAACAGAAGGTCCTCTGAGGCCTCTGCCTTGTCCCAAAGCATAGAAAAACACTGCTGCCTCATCCCTGGAAGTGTCCAAGTCCAGGTTGGATTGAGCCCTGAGCAACCTGGTCCAGTGGGTGGCACCCCTGCCCATGGTGGGGTGATTGGAACAAAATGATCCTTACAGTCCTTTCCAATGCAAGCCATTCCATGATTTTATGATTCCCAAAGGAGCCAGGCCCTCCTGTGGGTGTCAGCACCTCTGTGGACACACACACAGATGTTTAGGGTTGACTATAAAATCATTTTCCTCCATCCCAAGCAGCTCAAGCTGCTTTGCCCCCAGCACTTCCACTCCCTCCATGCACACCAAGTGTTCCCATCCTGCTGTTTGTAGGGAGAAGCAAAGTCCTTCCAGGGGCTCTTGGCAGACAGGTTGTGTCTTTCTGGGCTCTTGTTGACTTACAGAAAGGAAGGACAAGAAGGTGGACTCGTGCAATCATCTCTCTCCCGCTCTTCCACCCCAGCTTGCTGCTCATCCCTGCTGGAATTTGTGCCTGTCTGGGGGGAAGGCTTTGTCCCAGGGACATGGGAATTGAGGATTAATAATCACTGACAAAGGGAAACCACTGCATGCAGCTAGATTGCTGATTTGGTATCAGCAAATGCTGCTAAGAAGTCCGTGGCCCCAGGGGAATCTGCCGTGTTCCAGGTTTCCAAGCACCAGCTGCTCCGGCCGGTCTGGTATCGGAGCATGACCCCAGGAAAAAAAAAAAAAAAAAAGAGGAATTCTTATTTTCCATTTGATCCCAGAGAGATGGATTGTGTCTGTTTTTGCTGAGCTCCTCCCAGGCCCCTCTGGATGGCTGCTGAATGATGCAGGCTCCGTGTTATCCTAGGAGAAAATTTCATTTCCCCATTTTTACGCTGCACCGTCTCTGAACTGTTCCAGCTGTCTGGGAGTGGAGGTTCTTTGGGAATGATGCACCTCACCCATGCTCCTTTTCCTCTCCACGGGTCAAAACTAACCATGGCATGACAGTGTGAGGCTTTCTGGAGGGAGAAGGGAAGATGTTCCTGCCGTGGTCCTTTTGGGGTGAAAGGGGCTGGGCCCTGCATTGTGTCCCTGGGGGGCTGGGGAGGCTCCCCCTGCTCCTGCCACCCCTGGGCAAGGCTGCACTTTCCTCTGGAACAGGAAGAACACAGATGTTGGGAGCCCCTTGGAGACATCCACCCTTTCCTCCTTCCAGGGATTATCCTTGCATGGATTCCTCACCAATCATTTGGGAACCAGCTTCACCTTCCCCTTCCAAACCCCAAAAGAGACGATGCATTTGAACCCAATCTGACACATTTTCCCCCAAAACTCTTGTTGTAAAGCTCCACTTGTCCCCCCTCCAGCTTTGGGTGAGGGCTGACAGCTGGATTTCTCTTTCACCTCCTCTTCACACCTTGCAGAACAGGGTCTGCCTTTCACAGCCAGGACTCTGATCAACATTTGCAAGTCTGTCTTGTGGCTTCCAGTGGCCCTAAAACCTGCAAATAATATGCTGGAAATTCCCTGGCCTTGCCCATGTTTTTGCTGTGTAAGTCTCAGCACCTCCCCTATCATTAGTCCTCCTTCAGCAAACAGCTATTGTGCACTTGATACTTTTATCTTTTACCAGTTTTCCTTTACATTTCTCATCTGCTAAATTGCATTTTTGTGGGCTCGTCTCTCCCTTTTTTATTTCAGTTTACGTTATCCCTTTCCCCGGTGCAACTGCACTCGTAGGAAGATTTTAATTACCTCCCTTTAAAGCCAAATGACAAGTAGAGCATGTCATTTGTAGCTAAAGTATCACTTGAAAATGCAAAAGCCCCGGCTTTATCAGGCTTAAAAGCTTTCCTGGAATCTGTTCAAAAACTGCTGACTGGGCAAGATTAAACATCGCAGCGTTAAAGTAAAAGATCTCTGCATGTGGTGCTCCTTCATTCCCAGGGGGGATCGAGTTAAACTGCAGTGCAGCCCTCGGGCCTTCTTGGAAAATATTGGCAGGGGGTTTTATCTCCCCTCTGGGCAACGGGGAGATGGGGCTGGAGCTGTGGGGACGGGGATGTCAGCACAGCTCCAGTGGGGACAGCGGGGAGCAGGTGCTTCTGGAGCAGAGAAGTGACAACAGAGGGCACCTGAGGAATGGCCTTGTCCTCACACACCTCACCCTGAGTGAGAACCCTCTGCCAGGCTGGTCCTGGGCATCCCACAGCACAGGGAGGGGCTGAGCCCATCCAGGCATCAAGGGAAACCAGCTGTGAAGGTCATTTCTTGGGGGGGGAAAGGAAGGATGTCAAAAAATGCAGCTGAAAAAAATAATTTTAAAAAAGGAAATCATCGTAAAAATCCTGATTTTTCTCTCCTTTTAATTGTGGGCAGGGTGGCTGAAAGTGAGGAGGACAAGGCGAGTCCAACACCAAGGAGGGTGGTTCCAGCACCAGCTTCCCTGCCCACCCATCCCTCAGGAATTTGGAGGCATGAGCTGTGCTGCTGGATCCCAGGGAGGCTGGAGGGGGTGTGGAGATGCCATCCCATCAGGAGCAGAGCCCTGAGGATGAAGATACCAGGAAACTGGGAGAAAAAAGTGGTCAGAACTGACTCTTCCTCTCTCCCCACCTGTGAGGAGCTCCGGTTTGGACTTCCCTGAAGGCTGAGGGGAGTGGGGGATCTCTTAATTTATGGTAACAGGTTTTCCCCTCCCTGAACACAGGGAGATGATCCTGATCTGCTGGCCAAGAGCTCCTTAGAAACACTTGGAAAGGAGAATTGTGGGATGTGGAGGGGAAACACTTATGGTTTAAAAGGCATATTGGACTTCCAGGTCTGTCCAGATTGTCTCTGAAGAAATCCTCTGAGAGCTTGAATTACTCATTTTTAATGGGAACAGGAACCACCTGCCTGCAATCACACACATAAACTGTTGGTTACTTTGCAATGGAAGAGCAGCTTAAATGCTTTTTTTACTGTAATGTTTAACCCACTGTGTGTTTTGGAGCTTTTTCTTCTTTTAATTGAAAACACACTTTTCCCATGTGTGACGTGCTCACCTCCATCTCTCCCGGCCTCCCCAAGAAGCAGGAACGAATCCCAACCCTTGCTGCGTGGTTTCAAGAACAAACAGCGAGCTGCTGCTCCCCTTTGCCCTCCTCCTTCCCTAAAATCCCCCAAGCTGACAGAGGGACACATCCTCATTTTTTTCCCTCCAGTTGCTGCAGCCTCCCATGCTCAGATTTCCCAGGAACCAGGCTGAGGTCTCGGAGAAAGCCACCCAGAAAAATTCCCATTTTCCTTTCTGCAGAGTTATTGAACCTGATCAAGTTTCCCCAAAACCACAATTAGGATTTCTAGACCATTTTCCCTTTTTTTTTTTTTTTTTTTTTTTAAGACAGCCAGGCAGAGCGATGCTCATCACCCCAAACTTCAGCCAGCTGGGGAAAATGCCAGCTTTGAGCCAAATATCCAACATTTTGTGGGTTTTCCTTAAATTTTTCTGCTCTCTCCTGTCAGGGAAATGCAACAGTTTTGCATCCCTGACCTGTGTGTGTGTGTGTGTGTGAGTGTGCCTTCCAGCTCGAATCACCTTTTGTCCCGGTGGGTTTCTGGAGGGGCTGAGCATTCCCTTCAATAAAGGGCCCCGAATGAATGTCCCCTTCTCAGGGATATCACACAACCCGGCCTGCAAAAGCCTTTTATGAGGACATTCACCTCTGATGGGATAATTTTACCTATCAGATCACATAATCTCTTCCCCTGATGCCGAGCCAGGAAATGAAAAAAGAGCAGTGGGGAGATTTCTGCCCCGAGCGCCAGGTTGTGCTGCGATGACAGCCCCGATTACCTGGTCACAGCCTCTGAAAGGACCAGGACGCCGAGAGAAGCCTAAAATTACAATGCCCAGCTAGACAATAGGTGGGGTAAGAAACAGAGCAGCAGCAGACGCTTTTAGATCAAATTTTCAGCGTTTAGTCTATTCATAAATGTTTGAGCAGCTTCGGAGCTCAGCGGCTGGAGGGGAAGTTCTCGTCTCTGCTCCGTTTTTGTCTGTGCTCAAAATGTTCAATACAAACACAGGAGGCTGAAAAAAAAAAACCCCAGAGGTTAAGAGGATTTGGGAGAAGAGCATCCAGATTGGCACACCAGCAAACTGAGATGTTAGCTGTGCCCTGCTCCCCTGGCTCTGACTCCTTCCACAGATCCCTTGTCATTGGGA